CCAAACCACAGCTTTTGAAAACGATACTTACCTAATGAAGACTTATGAGGACTATTGATCAGTAGTGACACATGGAAAAGACTTGGCGTTTTGTCCATTGGTTTACTCAACTATTATAGCCGCTAATTTGTACTAAATCACAACCAGTTGATAATAAAGTTTGTTTAAGGTTGGAAAGAAATTGAGAAGTTTGAATTTTGAGATACAAGTCCACATTCAAAGGTTAACCAGCGTTTGGGCATAATAATTGAACTGAAGAATATACAAGGAGGAAATATCATATGAAACACTTCTACCATTTCTTTTTCTCTTTTTTTTTTTTTTTAATTATTCCAAGGGTATCCCCCAGCCGAAAGTCCAGGACTAATCCCCTCGAAACGTAGAGATCACGCGATTGTGGGTACAATCTCTTCCAACAAAGTCTTTTCTATACACACGGTCAGATATCGAATCGTTGTCAGCATGCTTAAAGGACCCAGCTATCCACCAACTGTGTCGGGGCTTTGTTAGTTCTTTTTTTCATACATGAATATGTGGGATAATTGTCCTGCAGGTTTAGGCAATAGCGGACCTAGAGTTTTTTTTTAATGTTTGCACACTTAAAATAAAAGAATAAAGGAAAAAAATTTTAAAGAAAAAATTAAATATATTAAAATACAAAAGAATATATAAAAAAAAAAACTTTGAATAATATAAAAAAAGAAATCAAGAGTCAACTAAATTGTTACAATAGAATATTTTGGGTCCTCAATAAAAATTATGGGCCTCAATTTAATCTCTTAGGGGAAAAAAAGTCTACTCGTGATCCCTCAAAATTCAAAAATAGATCCAGGTAATCAAAATCATGGTCCTCTGAAATTCAAAAAGATCTACATTAATCCCTCAAAAGGACGAACATGAGTCTATTTTAGATTTTAAAGTGATCACGAGTCAACTTTTTTTTAAGAGATTAAATTGGATCCTGTGATTTTTGTTCATGACCCAAAATATATTTTATTTTATTTTATTCCAAAAAATTTGTGTGTGCACTTGCACACACTAAAACATACACAGGTCCGCCACTGGGTCTAGGGGGAATCCAGGAGGACTACCATCAATGGACTAAGTTACACCAAGTGTAGTAAGTGAGTCTGATACCATGTCTCAATTCAAAATCTTAAAATATTAAGTTTATAAGTGTTTCCATTTATATGCATTTCACTTAACCTATTATCAACTAATATGAGACTTCATCGCACTTGAAAATCCTAACCTATGAAGCATCAACATTTCAAAAATCCTGATATGTTGTGTTCGACACTTTCCGACAATCCGACACTTTCGACACTCTAATACTCATTGTAAAGACTCAAAAAAAGGTTAAAAGATTACGTTGTGTTGCATTTTGAGTTTCAATTATTAGATTCATTAGATTACAATTACGATTTTATTGAGTTTAATATAAATATTTAGAATATTTTATGTTTCTTTGTAAAATTGATGGGTATTATAAGTTTAGCTTTATTTTTTTATCAAATTATTGAATACTAAATATAATATACACTACATAAATTAAAAATATTATATAATATTAAAATGTGTTCTTACATGTCAAAATTTAATATTTTATAGAATTAACGTATCGGAGTATTGTGTTATGTCGTATCCCGTGTCAATATCGATGTAACATAGACCCGAACAATAATTGCCCGAAATGACAAATGAATGAACGGGGGGAAAAGTTAGATATAATCTTTGATTTTATGTTGAAGGACTTGTACCAGCCACTACTTTGACTCCTCCATGAGTTCAGGACAAGTCCGAATATTAAGACGCAGAACTCCAACTGATTGAGGACCCCATCACCGTCAAAGTCACCTTTGCTTGTGAGGGAAGATCCAAGCAAAGATGAATTCCTCTTGAGGCTGTCAAAGAAGGCAAATGCTCATTTAATGTACCTGCTAAGAAATAAAAATAAAAAGTAGGAAAACACTTCTTAACAATGACCGCTAGCAAACATACCAATTTAAAGTTAACACGTTATTAATTATGGAAAATGTCTCTCTTTTTCCCTGCACAACCTTAAAATCTGTGCCTTATGTTTTTGTTTTTTTAAACGGAAACATTAGGCTAATGTGAAAGGAGATAATAAGTCTCTCTCTTATTAAGGGTGTTCGCGATCTGAATGGGATCACTTTGAAAGCAAAAATCATCTGATTAAATTCCTTCGTTTTGATCATGTAATCATCCATTCATTTTGAATTTTTTTCCAAATCCGATCCAATCCAATTTTTTTCGGTTTGGATTGGATTGGATTGATCGGTTTTTGGTTTTTTGAAAATCTTAAAATTTGTTTCATGATTATTGTGCAAATAATATCTTTTATATATATTGGCTTTATAATTATTTTTTTGAAATACAAAAGCATCACTAAATGATAATATAATTTTTTCTTTTCGGCAATGAGATATGAAGTTCTACACAGATGAAATTTTGTTGATAAATTGTGACTTGGTTTTTTCTTGAGTTTAGTTGATGGGTTAATGAGTCTTGTATTTAGAAACTTTTGAGCTATGATTGAGGAAAAACTCAAGTAGGTAGAGGGGAATTAATATATTGGATCGGTTTTCATCAACCAATCCAAAAATCGATCCAATTCAATTAAAATTTGTGATTTTTTTCGGTTTTCAATTTATTTGGTTATCGATTTTTTGATTCGGTCACCGCGGTTTGAATCAGTTTGTATCAGTTGATAAACACTCCTATCTCCTACACACTCAAAATGATATGGAACCTACTTCAATTTTTTTTTTCCTGTGCAATGGGACTCACATAAATTAATGAGTGTAGCATGAGATATCTTATCTCCAGTTGTATAAGAAAATATAATCCCCTTTTTGATTGCAGTGGAACTCACAATAATTTTGTCTCTACAACACGAAATAAAATATTTCTTGTTAGGTGAAAAAATTAATACCCTATTAATTAAACACTTATTAACAAAGAAGAAATTGTTTACTATAATAGGTTGCTATAATTTGGTCAGAATTCAATATTAAACTAAAACAAAGAGAAAAGGAAGCGGAAAATGTAAATCGTTATAATTATTTCCTTTTTATTTTTATTTTTAGTGTTCGATATCAAGATTCAACAGAATGTCTTTCGCTTTCCTCTATTTCTATATTACTTTTGCTGGCCTAATTAATAGATTTGACTTTTATGTACTCAAATGGCAAATGCAATTTTACAGCTGTGTTTTCTTTCCTTTTTATGAATTGAAATTACATCATTAATTGAGTTTCTTGCTTTGCTGATCATGTATAGTTTCATTATTGCTTTTCCTTGTTCGTTTCTTGATTGTTTGTTAGTTTCCAATTTTTCAGTGTTAATATAATTATATAGCGACAATGGAATTTAAATTCCCTTTCAGTTTTCGCTCTTTTATAAATTGCATTCTATTTAGTTAAATAAAAATTTTAAAATTAAAATGAATAATTTATAATTGACGCACTTTTCAAAAACTTTAAAAAATATTTAATAAGTCCACTCAAATAATAATAATAATAATGAGTTGTTAATATCCATTGAACTAAATGCTTTCACACTCACTACTTATAAAGAATTAAATAGTTCTAGTGTAAGGAATATGACCCAACATTGATGGTATGAACAAGGAGCACCCACTAATTCCAACGACTCATAGGACAGATTTTAATGATATAATTGATTGTGGTCGGTCTACTAGACAAAGACAAATTTCTACTACAATAAAGAAGGAGAAAAAACAGACAAACTTCAACCAGCCAACAAATTAATTAAATATAAGAAAGCTGCACAACATAGAATTTTATCAAGAAATATTTTTATAAAAAGATTTGCTATCGAGTTCTCAAAACATTAGTTAAGGAAATATAATTAACAAAAGAAAGTTATTAATCTCATGTCACATAAGATAAGTATTTTATGTGGATGAAACAAAATTGTAGGGTCCATAATTTTTAAAAAAAGAAAAAAAGAAAAGAAAAAAATAGACACAAGATTTTATGAGTGTGCAAAATAAGATAATTATCTTATGTAACAAAAGATAATTATCTTCCATTAACAAAATAGAAATATATTTCTCATATTGAATGAGATAATTTTATCTCATTCAACACACAAAAAGTGAATGGAATTCAATTTTTTTTCTTTCTCTCTCTTTCTCTTAATATTTCATCCACTTTTTTTTTTATGTTACACGAGATAATTTGTCTCATGTGAGAAATATATTCTTCATTGACAAAATGAAAATATTCATTATTTAAAATATCATTTGTTTCGAGAAGAGAAATTATTTTATTTTATTTGTTACTTAAAAAAACTAAGATATTAACAATTTTTAATCTGGCCAATGCAAAGTTGCACACCTATACCCTGGATTTTGATTACCTACGTTGCAAGGCAAATAATGGTTGACTTAGGTCTAAGTATCGGTCAAAATGATTTTCTTGTTGAAGACCAGGAACTATGGCGTAGTTTTTCTACATGGCTATTAATTATTCAATTGACGTGCATGTGACTGTTATTACCTAAATTATAACACTCTTCCACGTGAAAATTCCATCAAAGTCAGGGAAAAAAAAGTATCATTTAAAAGGACACAAGTTGTGTCCTTTTAGATGATTTACACAAAGTATAACTGGTCATATTTTGTGTAAATCTAAAAAGTTTTTTTTTTCTCTTCTCAGTCACATCACTGACGTGTGAAGTGAAAAAAAAAAATAACTTCTCAAAATTACAAAAAATATGACCAATTATATTATGTGTAAGTTACTAAACCCTCAAAGTTATTACCTAAATTAGCATGCATTACCGTGGCATACCATGTCACAGCAGATATTACACCTCAATGTGTTGTACGTTTTTACAAAGTCATAATTAACCATTAAAATATCCAAAAACTATAAGTTTCTGCATTTTGTGCTGTGTGTATATATACATCTTTTCACTGTAAACACTTTACATATCCTAAAACATGTGTACGATGTTCTATCTACTATGAATGCTAGTTTGCAGTTTGGTAACCATCTTCTTTATGAGATCATTGAATTTATGGAGTGCTCCTGCATCAATGCCAAGATGAAATTCAATAATACAAGGTAAGCCTGTGATATCATCGACATGTTTATATCATTTTAATTCGCCTTAGAGGGTTAGTTTCTTTCAGCTAATAATCAGCAGCTTTAGATCTTAGAAATAAAAGGGGTTGTGCTATTGATTAATACAATTACAAACTATAAATAATCTGTAAGTAATTATTTCAAAAAATGATGAAGCTCAACTTTCTTTGTGAATTCACAGGTACTATTGACACTGCTAGTGATAGAGGAACATATATATTGAAGAACAAAAAAAAACAACCTGATGAGAGGCTTTATCTTGCTTCTGTTCTGCCTCACCTTGCTGAATAATATAGCAGCCTTCACTGTTAGAGACACTATTAATACAATGCAATCTATCAATGATGGTGAGATCATAATTTCAGCTGGAGAAAGCTTTGCATTGGGATTCTTTAGTCCAAACAATTCCATGAACCGTTATGTTGGAATTTGGTATAATAAAATCCCAATAAAGACAGTAGTATGGGTTGCCAACAGAGACAACCCCATCACTGACTCATCAGGGGTTTTGAAGATCAATGAAACTGGGATTCTAGTCCTTCTCAACCATAACAAGAGTGTCATTTGGTCTTCCAATTCAACAAGGTCAGCGAAATATCCAGTTGCAAAGCTTTTAGATTCTGGAAATTTCATTGTTCAGGATAGCAGCAATAATGAGCCAACAGATTTTCTGTGGCAAAGTTTTGATTATCCACTTGACACACTCTTGCCAGGAATGAAGTTTGGAAGAAATCTAGTTACAGGCCTGAATAGATACTTGTCATCATGGAATAGCTCTGATGATCCATCTCATGGTAAATATAACTATCAACTTGATATTAGTGGATATCCACAATTTGTTTTAAGAGAAGGCACTGTAAAAAGGTTTCGTTTGGGATCATGGAATGGTGTTCAGTTTAGTGGGGCGCCTCAGGTGAAACAAAATGCTATATATAGGTTTATGTTTGTTTCTAATGAGGAAGAGATATATTATACATTTGAACTTTTCAACAAGTCATCTCTTAATAGGGTGGTGTTAACAACAGATGGATATATCAGGAAGATTTATTGGAGTGGAGAAGAAAATGGTTGGAGTGAATTTTCTAGAATGCCTTTGGATGACTGTGATTACTATGAAAAATGTGGAGCATATGCTAGTTGTAATATAAACAATTTTCCTGTATGTGATTGCTTGGATGGATTTGTGCAGCACAATGTGGCAGATATATATAGTGATTGTGTCAGGAGAACTTCACTGAGTTGCCATGGAGATGGGTTTTTGAAGTATTCTGGGCTGAAATTACCAGACACAGATGGATCCTGGTTTGATAGAAATATGAGCCTTGAAGATTGTAGGGTGTTGTGTCTGAAGAATTGTTCCTGTTCAGCATATACAGCTTTGGATATGAGTAAAGGGCCAAGTGGATGCTTACTCTGGTTTGGTAATCTGACTGACATAAAAGAATTGCCTGCATCTGATGAAGATGTTTACATAAGGATGGCTGGGACAGAAATAGGTAAGAGTTTGTCTCCCAAATTGAAAGTTTTCTTTCCTTTTTCTTCTTGTTTTCTCTCTTTAACTGTATTTTTTTTAGAAGCTCATGAAGGAAAGCACTCACATAAATCCAACATCTGGAAGAAAGAGACTGTTATCATAAGCTGTGTGGCGCTTATAGGAATTTTAATCCTAAGCTTAACCTTCATCATTTATAGACGGCAGAAAGGCAGTTAAGTAATTCTTGACCTATGAGATTAAATTATTTGAGTCTTGATTGTTATATACTTTATACTTACTGTTAATCACCAAGAGACAATAGGTATTCATTGTAATCCTTGTTATATTAAACTACACAACATTGGTGCTATTATATAGCAAACCAATTGAAGAATGCAAAGAGACACACTTAATGTGGGACTTCTATACTATGTACAGCAACACTCCCCCTCAAGCTGGAGCATATAGATCGTATGCACCAAACTTGTTACATATCTGGTCTATCCTAGGTCCTCTCAAAGACTTAGTAAATACATCAGCTAATTGATCATTTGAGTTGACAAAACGAGTGACTATATCTCCTGAGAGAACCTTTTCCCTAAGGAAATGACAATCTATCTCAATGTGCTTAGTCCTTTCATGAAACACTGGATTTGAAGCAATATGCAAAGCAGCTTGATTATCACAAATGAGAGATGTTGGGCCAGTGTCTCCAAACTTGAGTTCCTTCAGTAGCTGTTTTAACCAGATGAGTTCACAGGTAGTTGTGGCCATGGAGCGATATTCTGCTTCAGCACTTGATCTAGCAACTACACTTTGCTTCTTACTTCTCCAGGAAATCAAGTTATCTCCAACGAATACGCAATACCCAGAAGTGGATCTTCTATCAATAGGAGAACCTGCCCAATCAGCATCTGAGTATCCTACAACTCTGGTATGACCTTTGTTTTCATAGAGAAGACCTTTGCCAGGAGCAGTCTTGATGTACTTGAGGATACGGATTACTGCATTCCAGTGATCTTCACAGGGAGAATTCAAGAACTGACATACTACACTGACTGCAAAGGAAATGTCTGGTCGAGTAACTGTGAGATAGTTCAGTTTCCCAACCAATCTTCTATACCTTTCTGGATCAGAAAATATCTCCCCCTGATTTGGTAAAAGCTTGACATTTGGATCCATAGGAGTATCAACGGGCTTAGCATTTAACAATGTTGTTTCCTCAAGAATATCCATAGCATATTTTCTCTGTGATAGTACAATGCCATCTTTGGATTGGACCACTTCTATCCCTAAGAAATATCGGAGTCTTCCAAGGTCCTTTGTTTGAAAATGATGGCACAAATGTTGTTTTATCTGAGTTATGCCATGAGTATCATTACCTGTAATGACGATATCATCAACATATACTACCAAATAAATAGAACCTGAATCAGAGTGTTTGTAAAAGACTGAGTGATCAGCCTCACTTCGAGTCATGCCAAACTGCTGCACAACAGTGCTAAACCTTCCAAACCAAGCCCGGGGAGACTGCTTTAGACCATACAAGGTTCTTCGGAGACGACAAACTAGGTTAGACTCCCCCTGAGCAACAAACCCAAGAGGTTGCTCCATATAAACCTTGTTAAGAACCTTGAGGTCACCACCCCAAAAGCTAGCTCAAAGGGTGGGAGTGCCCAAGGCCTTATAAACCTCACATTAGTTGCCCATACAACCAATGTAAGACTATATTTCTCAACACGCCCCCTCACACGAGAGCCCACTGGGTTTGAAGGGTAGACAACATACAAGTCCACCTATATGTGGAAATTCCACTACAAAGAAAATGGGTGGCGGTGAGATTTCGATGGCTCTGATACCATGTTAAGAACCTTGAGGTCACCACCCCAAAAGCTAGCTCAAAGGGTGGGAGTGCCCAAGGCCTTATAAACCTCACATTAGTTGCCCATACAACCAATGTAAGACTATATTTCTCAACAAACCTCTTCCCGCAAATCACCATGGAGGAAAGCATTCTTTATGTCCAGCTGATACATAGGCCAGTGATGAATGGCTGCCATAGTAATAAAGAGGCGAACAAAAGTCATTTTCGCCACGGGAGAAAATGTGTCACCATAGTCAAGGCCAAATATCTGAGTATAACCTTTAGCCACCAAGCGGGCCTTAAGACGGTCCACCTGACCATCCAGACCAACTTTAACTGTGTATATCCATCGACAGCCAACAACAGACTTCCCAGAGGGAAGGGGAACCAGATCCCAGGTACCACTACACTGAAGTGCACTCATCTCATCAATCATGGCCTGTCGCCAACCAGAATGTGATAACGCCTCACCTGTAGTCTTAGAAACAGATACAGAAGAAAGAGAAGAGAGGCAAGCAAAATGGGATGGTGAAAGACGATGATAACTCAAATTTATTAAATACCTGGGAGGGGGACGAGAATCACGAGTACCTTTCCGGAGTGCAATGGGCACATCAATGTCAGACGGAAGGATCGGAGCTGCCGGAGGAATGATAACGGAAGTGAGTCCACAGGAGCCTCGGTAACAATAGGGGCAGACTCGGTGGGGGCAGGGTCCTGGGGAACAGGGGGACGTTGCCGACGATGATAGACCTGGAGGGGGGGAACATGGGCGGGAATAGGGACGGGGACATCGAAAGAAGGAGATGGTGAAGGTATATAGTGAACTGAAACAGGTGGTAAAGGTAGCTGAGCAGCAACAGAATCACTGGGATGGGAGGAGGAGTCAAAGAATGTAATAGACTCAAAGAATGTAACATCCGCCGAGACAAAGTAACGACAAAGACTAGGAGAATAACAACGATAACCCTTTTGTGAGCGGGGGTAACCCAGGAAAATACATTTATGTGACTTAGCAGATAACTTGTCAAGACCAGGACTGAGATTGTGGACAAAACAAGTAGAACCAAAGATGTGAGGAGTGAGTGGGTACAAAGGTTGATGGGGAAACAACACAGAATGTGGTACCTGATTATGAAGTACGGAGGAAGGCATTCGATTAATGAGATAACAAGCTGTGAGGACAGCATCGCCCCACTACTGAATGGGATATGACCATGTAACAAAAGTGTCCGAGTAGTCTCAATTAGGTGACGGTTCTTGCGTTCAGCAACCCCATTCTGTTGAGGGGTGTGTGAACATGATGTCTGGTGAAGGATGCCGTGAGATGCAAAGAAAGGTTTGAAACTGATGAGACAAATATTCATGAGCATTGTCACTTCGAAAAATGCGAATCGAAACACCAAATTGAGTAAGGATTTCATTAAAGAACTTGTTAAAAATAGAAAACAATTCAGACCGATTTTTCATTAAAAATAACCAAGTACATCGAGAATAATCATCGATGAAAGTGACAAAATATCTGTACCCCATAGTGGAAACGGTACGACTAGGACCCCAAATATCTGAATGAACTGAAGCAAAAGGAGACGAAGACCGACGACCGACACGATCGGGAAACGAACTACGAGTGTGCTTCCCTAACTGACACGACTCACAAGACAAACTAGATAAATTTGAGAAACGTGGGACCATCTTCTGGAGCTTAGCAAGATTTGGATGACCCAACTGAGCGTGGATAGTAAGTGGAGAATCCACAACAGAGCACACTGGAACAGAAGTTGAAAGCTGATAAAGGCCATTGGACTCAGATCCGACGCCAAGTGTCCTCCTCGAGCTCCGATCCTGCAAAATGACAGACTCTTTAGTGAAAGAAATAATACAGTCAAGGGATTGAGTCAAGCGACTAATGGAAATAAGATTGAAAGGAGAATGAGGAACATAAAGCACATTCTCAATGGGAATAGAAGGAAAAAGGAGAACAGTGTCAATCCCTTGGGACTGAACCAGTGACCCATTAGCCATAGTGATACTGGGCAGGGGACCAGATGTACAGAGAGAGGTAAATAAAGACTTATTACCAGAAATATGGTCAGATGCACCAGAATCGAGAATCCATGGACCAAGAGAGGGCGAGTGAGAAACACCAGCAAAGGAATTACCCGTGTGTGCACTAGAGGCAGTGGTACCAGGAGGTGGCTGTGATCCAGCAATCAAGGCAGAGTCCGAGGCAGGAACAGTAGTCTGAGGAAAATGAGCGGAGCGAGGAGGGCGACCGTGAAGATCCCAGCAACGATCAATAGTATGACCCGGCTGTTTGCAATGAGTGCAGAGAAAGCGTCTCGTAGAGGGTTTGCTTCCACGTGCAAAACCCTTGGAGACAAGAGCAGATGGGTCAATTGAAGAGGGAGCAGATACTGCAGGCTCCATAGAAGTCTTAGGTGGAATGCGAAGCAACGTAGACCAAACAGAGTCCAGCGATGGAACCAGCAACGAAAAGCAAAGATCTGCCTGTGAATAGTGACCAGCAAGGGAAAAGACACTGTAGGAAGCCGAAACGAAGTCGAAACAACAAAGTGAGGACAGATCCAAGTGCGCAAGGAGAAGACGAAGGGAATCGTGGTGGTCCGACGGCCAACCGGAGTGGGACGCGCCGCCACGTGCCGCTGCAACAAAACGGGTTGCAGCCGCTGTTTGACGCGCGTGGAGGAGGATCTGAGGATGGGTCCTGGACAGAAAGGAGCGCCTTCTCGTGGCGATCAGATCGATATGGGTTTCACCGGAAAAGTCGCCGGAGACGGCGGTGAACGGCGGTGGACGGCGGTGGACAGTGGTGCCTAATGGCGGCAGTGATCAGACAGGTCCGTAGACGATATATGGAAGCCGGAAACTGACAGATACGACTGTTGTCGGGGAAAAAAAAATTTACTCAGCAGACAGTGGTCCACCGGAAAAAAAAACGCGGATTAGGATTCCTCTTGTTAGGCTCTAGATACCATGTTAATCACCAAGAGACAAGAGGTATTCATTGTAATCCTTGTTATATTAAACTACACAACATTGGTGCTATTATATAGCAAACCAATTGAAGAATACAAAGAGACACACTCAATGTGAGACTTCTATACTATGTACAGCAACACTTACTACAAACTTAGGCTGTTATCCACAAATTAGGATCACCAATCACCATTATCTGTTGTTGAGATATATAGTGACACATTGGTTGTATGTGCAACTAATGTGGAGTTTATAAGGTCTTGGGCTCTCCCACCCTTTGAGCTAGCTTTTGGGGTGGTGTATTCCAATGTGGGACTATATATCTCAACACGCCCCCTCACACGAGAGCCCACTCCCCCTCACACGAG